GTTTTCCATCTCTTAAAAATCTGCAAAAAAAAAACTTAACATAATCTAACGATAATTCCAAATCAATAGAATATGCTTTTTGGATTTTCGGGTTTTTATAGACAAGTTCGGGTTTGGGTGAAAATCTGAGACATAATTTTATAGAGATATAGAAATTGTTCGGGTTTCTTTGAAAATTTCTGTTCGGGTTAGGTTAATTTTTTTTTTCAGTTTAGGGTTTTCCGGATTTTTTAGATTTCTGGTTTTCGGGTTTAGATATATTAAAAAAATTGAGTATTTTAAAATTTTGATTAGGTATTGGGGTCGGGTTCCGGGTGAAAAAGTTTCCAGATTTTTTTTGTTCAGTCAGGGTTTTCGGGATTTTTTTGATTTCGGGTTTAGACCTATTAAAAAAGTTTGGGTTTTTAAATTTTTTGATTAGGTTTTTTGTCGGGTTCGGATTTAGGGTTTAAATTTTCTACACAAAACAACAACGTCACACCGCACAAACGTGCGGGTACTCTACTAGTTTGTTTTATTAATCGAGAAAGCATTGCATCTATTTTTTGCGATTGATATATATTTGGAGAATTTTTCTTGGAAAAATTGGCAATTTACCCAAAATGAAATGGTTCTTGTCCTTTTACTTTTTTCCCATTTCCTTTTTGTTCCATTACCTTTTTTTTAACAAATTTCTCATTTTTGCGCTTCTAATAAGGTTTTAATTCCATTTTTGTTATTTAAATTTAAAAATAAATTAAGAAGGTAAAACTAATGAAAACTAGTTAAAAAAACTAAATTAATTAAACCAGAAAATAGGATAGTTGGAGGAAAAAAAAGAAAGAAAGATTTGAAAAATATTTAGTTGCAATATTTTTTCGATCTTCGCAGAAGATGAATTCTACAGACTGTAGACGACACTAATTTTCCTAGACCGAGTACTAGAAACACGACTACTACGGATCGTAGAAAACTTGGTTTTAGTAGATCACTACTTCTGCGGAATGTAGATTGGATAAAAACATGTAAGATACGAAAACTACTTCTTCTAGATAGCAGTGTTTCATGTAGAACTTAAAATCTATGAATAGTAGAAGATACTTGATTGTGTAGAATATATTTGGTGCAAATTCTACAAAACAGTAGAGCCTATAAGACTTAACAGTATCAAGTTCTATAAGACTTAGTAGTATCGAGTTCTATATACGGAAAATGTATGAATAAGTTGTAGATATTATGTTCTATGGCGGTTAGACCTCCGAAAATTTTGTAGAAAACGTATTCTACTTTGTTATTATAAATTTGTAGAACGAAACTTCAAATATTTTTTTTAATATCATAAGCATTTTCAAAAATGTTCAAATATTGTACACAGTACTATCATTTTTAGGAATTATGGATTTCTTTTTTCATTTCAAAAGGCATTTAGTATGAATTTTTAAATAAATTGAAGAATAATCTTGACCAATGACCAAAGTCAAAAAGGAGTAAATGAACAAGAACCCTTTCATTTTGGAGTAAATTGCAAATTCCCCATTTTTCTTTGATCAATCGAGAAAGAACTGTTTGATACAGTATTTTGTTTGATTGTTTGATATTTTATCGAAAAAAAATTGTTTGATATTTAATCGCGAAAGAATTGTTTGATATTTTGATCGGTATTTAAATATGCGTGTGTCTATTTTAAATTTTTAATTAGAAGAGTGGAAATGGGCCGGCATAAGCTTTTATGGGCTGACAGAATTTCTGTCACAGAAATACAAGTCGTGCTCGGAACACGCAAGCCATTTCTAATAATTAATTGTGTTTTTGTCATATTTCAGACGTTTGTCAGAAACCTTATTTTCCCATCTTAATAGTTTTAAGAAACGATATTTGTATAGTTTGGCTAAAGAAATTATTTATGTATTACTTGTTTATGAAACATGAGGTGATGATCTAGCATATCTAGTATTGGAGTATTGGAAGGGATGTTGTAACTTGTAACATAAGAAAAAGTCTTTAGAGCGTTAAAGAAAGAGAGAAAAAGTGTTCTTTTAATTAATCCTTAGAGCGTCAAAGAGATAGAAAAAAGTGTATAGCTGTTTGGTCTTGTTAATAAAGCAAAAAAAAGGCGAATGTACATCACAAAATGAACTATTTCAGAGTTTGAGTTTAATCTAAGACTAAAGAACAAATGTAGCTACCATTTGGAGTAACTTAAGATCCCCCCAGTTCTCAATTTAATCTCAATTTGGAAAATCAAATTATTTGGACCAAAACTCGAACCCAAAAAAGAAAAAGTTAAGAGTTGAGATTGGTTGAAGTAATAAATCTTTAGAGTAACGAACAAGGCATCATGGCTTCTTGAATTCTACAATATCTTACAAGCTTTACCAGAACAAGCCATACCCCAAAACAGTAAAAAAAAGTCCGAAAATCCCAAGATTCACTTTATGTATCCGTGGCAGAGAAGCAAAGTAGATACCAAATTCCGGACAAGTCGACCAACAAGTCGACCAACAAGCTTTAATCAAATGGTCAAACACAACGAAATTATGCCACCCAACAGCATTTACAGATCAACATCATCTCAGCCACCAAACTTGGCTTTTGGCCATTGAGCTACATCGATCACCCACATAACTCACCGCCCATTGACCGTGCCCACATCTCTGTTGTTCAAAACCTAAACGTTGATTGGGTACACGAAAGGGAAAGCCTTTCTTGTCTTCCTGCTGCATCTTAAAAGATGAATGATAAAACTTCATTCTTAGCAACGACAATAGAGTATTCCAACTTCTTTCTTCGCATCCCCAATTAGATAGCAAAGAAGCTTCACCGTCCCTTAGATTGCTCCCCTCTTGGATTAACCATCAGTAACGTTTGACTTCTTGGATATTAACCCTGAATTTACCAAGATCAATCCAGGAGACAAAAGAAAACAAGTTTTTGTTTCCTGTGTAGTTGTGTTACAAAGCAAATGCATAGTGAAAATGCAGCTCCTGCTCCACAATCATAAGCACATCACGGACACTCTAGTCTCTAGTGATGAAGAGATATCTAAGGATTTCGGATTTGAATCATTTAGAAACATCAGCTTTCGAATGTTTATATGTAACAAAGGGGTTGATCTTTATAAGAAACAGATATATGAAACCCAGATCTGGTTCTTACAGTAACAGATCTTAACACAAACTCTCTCACTCTCTCTCTCTTTTTGTATCGTCGTCATCGTCTTCCTTGTGATTATCGTGCTCACTTTTTTTTCTTTTTATTTTTCCTTATTTTTTGTTTCTTTCAGTATGAGATCGAAGGAAAAAAAAAAAAAAAGGGAATTAAAAATTTCTTTTATAAAATTGGAGAATTTTTGCAAATGATGGATCTTGTTGGTTTTTTACTTTTTACCCCCAAATCAGAGACGGAGATCGGTGCAGTGGAGATCGTCTGTGCCGACGAATAAGTCAACGCCATCCAACGGCGGAAAATTAAGATCAAACTGAAACGGCGGTTTTCGGCGGGAAGACGAAGACGCGATGTCGTCACCGTCGTCAATAACCGACGACGACGAATCGCAATCGCTGTGGCAATCCTCCGGAGCCACCGGTGGAGTCCGCGGATATCTCTTCGACGCAGGTAACGGCTTCGCAACGGACGAAGACGCCGCTTCGATCGGCGGCCTGGGTCCGCTAAACGATTTGACGGTGCTGCTCATGCTGCTACTCGCCGGCCGACTGATAACCTGCTGCTCCTGGAAGTTTCCGCCTCCGTATAACCGGTGGTCCATAAACGGATCGATCTGGCTCTGATTGGCCGCGAAAGGAGCAGCAGAGCACAGATTCGGATTCTGCTGATTCTGGTAATTGAGTGGTTGGAGAGGAGAAGAAGGAGAACAATCGATCGGGAAATTGGTCTTGGCCTTAGGACCACGGAGGTTACGAGCGGCTGCATCGTAGGCGCGTGCAGCCTCCTCGGCGGAATCGAAAGTACCGAGCCAAACTCGGGATTTCTTTAACGGATCACGGATCTCCGCCGCGAATCGACCCCAAGGTCTCTTCCTAACGCCTCTATACCTCGGCTCCTTCACAGATCCGTTGAGATTCCCGGCAGTTACCGGAAGGGCGGGTGCAGCGACGGAAGAGCCTCTCCCTTTCCTCATGGAGAAAGAAGATGCAAAACCACAAGTAATGTGATGGAGAAGAGATCTGTGTGTGAAGAAGAAAATGTTGAAATATGAGGAAAGATGAGGAAGATGGAGGAAGAAGGGTAGAGATTGGAAAAATTAAAAACTCCCTTCAGCATAAAGCCATTTTTGAAAACATAAAATAAAATAAAATTTTAACCCAAAAGAATTTTTATTTTTTATTGCGATAAATAATAATTTATGGTTGGAATAGCTTTTTCTCTCTCGATTTTTTCTCTACCTTCACGCCCGCCCCACAAGACCGACCAATTCGATTTTTAGTTATTTTATGGAGTATCGTATTTTCTTAACTCCGATTCTTTTTCTTTTGCTTTAAACTTTTTATTCGAATTTCGACATATATTGTGCGAAAATATTTTAAAAAATCTTTAGGAGTTCACAAGAGATGTCTCGAAATGCGAAGAAAGCAAAAGAGGGTAAGCACTTGCACTTGCTTCTGTCCTGACCCTGACCACAATCTTCTTCTTTGTTTATTATTAAAATCGGTTAAAAGACCAAATAGTCCACATATAATGACCAAAACACCCTCGTCTATTTATTTTATTTTATTTCGAAAATATTAAGTGACCCTACACGAAACGAGACGCGCTTATCGTCATCGTCGTCTCTCCCGTGTGTAAAGTAAATGCTGTAGAGGAAACGCATTAATGGGGAAAACGCAAATTCATTCGTATAAACTGAATCTGTCTCTCGTTTAATTCCAATTCAATACAACAAGAAAAATAAAATTAAACCCTCTAAATAAGAACACACATTTTTAAAAAATCAACTTGCTCATCTTTAAATTCAGAAACCTTTTTTCCGGGCTAAAATCTGAGTTGTTGTTTCTCCAGGCTGATCACAATAGCCTGCTGAGGGATTTGATAAGTAGTTTAAGGTTTTTTCTTGTGGCTTCATCGCCTGTAAATCCCAGAATATCTGAGCTTATGCTCTACAGTGCAGAATTCAAAAACCATGTTAACATTTTTTTTATCCTTCATATTGTCAAAGCTTTAACTCTTTTTGTCTGATTTGAATAAGAAGAAACAAAAGTTACCTCGACATTCTTCAAAGTGTAAACCAGAGTGTGGATTGACTTCTGAATTAGCTCTGTATTCTCAGGTGTCATAATCGATGAATGAACCTTCCTACAATATTAGCAAAAATGAAAAGAACATATCAGAATCTCATATTTTTGTAACACCTTTCTAATCCCCAGAGCTTATCTCTAAGGCTTGAAATATGTAAACAAGCTTTTAACATAGATGTGGTTCCAGAAACAAGAACCATACATTAAGTAATAGAAACAGCAGACTCGGTCTCAGAAGATATATTTAAAGAGATCAACTATTCCGATTCTAAAATAATAGAGGAAAGACTGAAAAGCAGCGATGAGCAAAGCTATGTATGGTTTCACATTCATCCCTTGTTCTGAAATTAGTCGGCAAATAGAGTGTTGAAGTCATGGATGATATTCGAAACGGAGATGCAATTTAAATTTCCTCGTATGGTTAAGACCTCAAAATTAGAAATCATTTCTTTACCTCTACAAGACTAATTGTCAGTTTCCTTAATGAGGTTGGAAATAGTTTGACACTTGCACTGTGAACTTCCTTACAAGACTATCTAGAGTGGTTCTAAAGATGTTATATCAATCGATAATGCTAAGGTTATCAACCAAAACCAAACTTTGGTGACTAACTATGAACCATTACCTCATGTCGTTTGAAGCTTGGGTCAGGCTTCGAGTAAGGCACTCAACTTCCTTGAGCAAGCCGCTATCACGAAACTCAGAGAGCAAAGGTTGAGCATCTTCAGCCATGGCTTGAATCTGTGACATCACTACATCAAAAACCCAACGCTTACGCATGAGAATATATTTTGCATGTTCCTTTCCCAAACCAATCTTGAAATGACTTCATATCACCTTTTTGAGCAATGGTTTTGCTTCTTCTATAACCGCAGCCGCTCTCTCAGCAAGCGAATACGTATTGGCGACACCAATCGCCTCTACTTCACGTCCAATACGAGTGAATATACCAACTAGTGCATCTAAACTCACTCCTTGCTCTCCCTTAATCTTCTGCCTATCACAAACAATCAAACCTTCTTTACCACATTCCGGATGCAGAGGTCCAACCGATGGTTCCGGTATCGGATCCCTCGGGGTAATATCAATCAAAGTCTCCATCAGAAGACCGGACTGATTCACCTCAACCAGTGAATTCTTTGGGATAATAATCTTATCATCTTCAATCTGCAAAAAGATGACCAAAGCCTAACATTCAGAAAACCAACGCACAGTCCAAAACCAGATCAAACCACACCAAATCAGCATTACCTCAGCAACAGCTTCAATGTTCTTCAAAGAAGGATTCACACGGATAACCGAACCAACGGTAACCCCACGGATCCTAACCGGTGTCCCCGTGCAAATCCCTGAGGCTTGAGCAAGCTCAAACACAGTCTGATACTTCCTGAATTTCGACCTCATTTGAAACCCTCGCAACCAAGCCCAGGTAAGAGCAGCAAGTGTAGCTCCAGAGACGATGAACAAACCAACCCCACCTTCCCAAACACTTCTCTTACCAAACCCGAAATCACTCAAGGGTTTTAAAGTCTGTCTCCATATATTCCTCGGCACATCCAAAGCAACCGTGAGCGGGCTCTTCCCTTCATCAGACGATGGTTGCGAATTGGATGCGGCTCTGACCACTAAATGCCTAGTTCTAGGTTTCGGTGGGAGATAAGGAAGCCCATTGAGAGAAGCTCGAGGGCAAACAATCATGGAAGATGATGGCATTAGTGATGGTGGAACTTGAATTACCGGATTCCCAATCATCTTCTTCCGAGCTGCAGGAGAAGGGGAATTCCAATCAATGACGGGAAAAAGAAAAAGGATGTGAATTGCGTGAAACTTGTACTATANTGGAAAAAAAAGAAAGAAAGATTTGAAAAATATTTAGTTGCAATATTTTTTCGATCTTCGCAGAAGATGAATTCTACAGACTGTAGACGACACTAATTTTCCTAGACCGAGTACTAGAAACACGACTACTACGGATCGTAGAAAACTTGGTTTTAGTAGATCACTACTTCTGCGGAATGTAGATTGGATAAAAACATGTAAGATACGAAAACTACTTCTTCTAGATAGCAGTGTTTCATGTAGAACTTAAAATCTATGAATAGTAGAAGATACTTGATTGTGTAGAATATATTTGGTGCAAATTCTACAAAACAGTAGAGCCTATAAGACTTAACAGTATCAAGTTCTATAAGACTTAGTAGTATCGAGTTCTATATACGGAAAATGTATGAATAAGTTGTAGATATTATGTTCTATGGCGGTTAGACCTCCGAAAATTTTGTAGAAAACGTATTCTACTTTGTTATTATAAATTTGTAGAACGAAACTTCAAATATTTTTTTTAATATCATAAGCATTTTCAAAAATGTTCAAATATTGTACACAGTACTATCATTTTTAGGAATTATGGATTTCTTTTTTCATTTCAAAAGGCATTTAGTATGAATTTTTAAATAAATTGAAGAATAATCTTGACCAATGACCAAAGTCAAAAAGGAGTAAATGAACAAGAACCCTTTCATTTTGGAGTAAATTGCAAATTCCCCATTTTTCTTTGATCAATCGAGAAAGAACTGTTTGATACAGTATTTTGTTTGATTGTTTGATATTTTATCGAAAAAAAATTGTTTGATATTTAATCGCGAAAGAATTGTTTGATATTTTGATCGGTATTTAAATATGCGTGTGTCTATTTTAAATTTTTAATTAGAAGAGTGGAAATGGGCCGGCATAAGCTTTTATGGGCTGACAGAATTTCTGTCACAGAAATACAAGTCGTGCTCGGAACACGCAAGCCATTTCTAATAATTAATTGTGTTTTTGTCATATTTCAGACGTTTGTCAGAAACCTTATTTTCCCATCTTAATAGTTTTAAGAAACGATATTTGTATAGTTTGGCTAAAGAAATTATTTATGTATTACTTGTTTATGAAACATGAGGTGATGATCTAGCATATCTAGTATTGGAGTATTGGAAGGGATGTTGTAACTTGTAACATAAGAAAAAGTCTTTAGAGCGTTAAAGAAAGAGAGAAAAAGTGTTCTTTTAATTAATCCTTAGAGCGTCAAAGAGATAGAAAAAAGTGTATAGCTGTTTGGTCTTGTTAATAAAGCAAAAAAAAGGCGAATGTACATCACAAAATGAACTATTTCAGAGTTTGAGTTTAATCTAAGACTAAAGAACAAATGTAGCTACCATTTGGAGTAACTTAAGATCCCCCCAGTTCTCAATTTAATCTCAATTTGGAAAATCAAATTATTTGGACCAAAACTCGAACCCAAAAAAGAAAAAGTTAAGAGTTGAGATTGGTTGAAGTAATAAATCTTTAGAGTAACGAACAAGGCATCATGGCTTCTTGAATTCTACAATATCTTACAAGCTTTACCAGAACAAGCCATACCCCAAAACAGTAAAAAAAAGTCCGAAAATCCCAAGATTCACTTTATGTATCCGTGGCAGAGAAGCAAAGTAGATACCAAATTCCGGACAAGTCGACCAACAAGTCGACCAACAAGCTTTAATCAAATGGTCAAACACAACGAAATTATGCCACCCAACAGCATTTACAGATCAACATCATCTCAGCCACCAAACTTGGCTTTTGGCCATTGAGCTACATCGATCACCCACATAACTCACCGCCCATTGACCGTGCCCACATCTCTGTTGTTCAAAACCTAAACGTTGATTGGGTACACGAAAGGGAAAGCCTTTCTTGTCTTCCTGCTGCATCTTAAAAGATGAATGATAAAACTTCATTCTTAGCAACGACAATAGAGTATTCCAACTTCTTTCTTCGCATCCCCAATTAGATAGCAAAGAAGCTTCACCGTCCCTTAGATTGCTCCCCTCTTGGATTAACCATCAGTAACGTTTGACTTCTTGGATATTAACCCTGAATTTACCAAGATCAATCCAGGAGACAAAAGAAAACAAGTTTTTGTTTCCTGTGTAGTTGTGTTACAAAGCAAATGCATAGTGAAAATGCAGCTCCTGCTCCACAATCATAAGCACATCACGGACACTCTAGTCTCTAGTGATGAAGAGATATCTAAGGATTTCGGATTTGAATCATTTAGAAACATCAGCTTTCGAATGTTTATATGTAACAAAGGGGTTGATCTTTATAAGAAACAGATATATGAAACCCAGATCTGGTTCTTACAGTAACAGATCTTAACACAAACTCTCTCACTCTCTCTCTCTTTTTGTATCGTCGTCATCGTCTTCCTTGTGATTATCGTGCTCACTTTTTTTTCTTTTTATTTTTCCTTATTTTTTGTTTCTTTCAGTATGAGATCGAAGGAAAAAAAAAAAAAAAGGGAATTAAAAATTTCTTTTATAAAATTGGAGAATTTTTGCAAATGATGGATCTTGTTGGTTTTTTACTTTTTACCCCCAAATCAGAGACGGAGATCGGTGCAGTGGAGATCGTCTGTGCCGACGAATAAGTCAACGCCATCCAACGGCGGAAAATTAAGATCAAACTGAAACGGCGGTTTTCGGCGGGAAGACGAAGACGCGATGTCGTCACCGTCGTCAATAACCGACGACGACGAATCGCAATCGCTGTGGCAATCCTCCGGAGCCACCGGTGGAGTCCGCGGATATCTCTTCGACGCAGGTAACGGCTTCGCAACGGACGAAGACGCCGCTTCGATCGGCGGCCTGGGTCCGCTAAACGATTTGACGGTGCTGCTCATGCTGCTACTCGCCGGCCGACTGATAACCTGCTGCTCCTGGAAGTTTCCGCCTCCGTATAACCGGTGGTCCATAAACGGATCGATCTGGCTCTGATTGGCCGCGAAAGGAGCAGCAGAGCACAGATTCGGATTCTGCTGATTCTGGTAATTGAGTGGTTGGAGAGGAGAAGAAGGAGAACAATCGATCGGGAAATTGGTCTTGGCCTTAGGACCACGGAGGTTACGAGCGGCTGCATCGTAGGCGCGTGCAGCCTCCTCGGCGGAATCGAAAGTACCGAGCCAAACTCGGGATTTCTTTAACGGATCACGGATCTCCGCCGCGAATCGACCCCAAGGTCTCTTCCTAACGCCTCTATACCTCGGCTCCTTCACAGATCCGTTGAGATTCCCGGCAGTTACCGGAAGGGCGGGTGCAGCGACGGAAGAGCCTCTCCCTTTCCTCATGGAGAAAGAAGATGCAAAACCACAAGTAATGTGATGGAGAAGAGATCTGTGTGTGAAGAAGAAAATGTTGAAATATGAGGAAAGATGAGGAAGATGGAGGAAGAAGGGTAGAGATTGGAAAAATTAAAAACTCCCTTCAGCATAAAGCCATTTTTGAAAACATAAAATAAAATAAAATTTTAACCCAAAAGAATTTTTATTTTTTATTGCGATAAATAATAATTTATGGTTGGAATAGCTTTTTCTCTCTCGATTTTTTCTCTACCTTCACGCCCGCCCCACAAGACCGACCAATTCGATTTTTAGTTATTTTATGGAGTATCGTATTTTCTTAACTCCGATTCTTTTTCTTTTGCTTTAAACTTTTTATTCGAATTTCGACATATATTGTGCGAAAATATTTTAAAAAATCTTTAGGAGTTCACAAGAGATGTCTCGAAATGCGAAGAAAGCAAAAGAGGGTAAGCACTTGCACTTGCTTCTGTCCTGACCCTGACCACAATCTTCTTCTTTGTTTATTATTAAAATCGGTTAAAAGACCAAATAGTCCACATATAATGACCAAAACACCCTCGTCTATTTATTTTATTTTATTTCGAAAATATTAAGTGACCCTACACGAAACGAGACGCGCTTATCGTCATCGTCGTCTCTCCCGTGTGTAAAGTAAATGCTGTAGAGGAAACGCATTAATGGGGAAAACGCAAATTCATTCGTATAAACTGAATCTGTCTCTCGTTTAATTCCAATTCAATACAACAAGAAAAATAAAATTAAACCCTCTAAATAAGAACACACATTTTTAAAAAATCAACTTGCTCATCTTTAAATTCAGAAACCTTTTTTCCGGGCTAAAATCTGAGTTGTTGTTTCTCCAGGCTGATCACAATAGCCTGCTGAGGGATTTGATAAGTAGTTTAAGGTTTTTTCTTGTGGCTTCATCGCCTGTAAATCCCAGAATATCTGAGCTTATGCTCTACAGTGCAGAATTCAAAAACCATGTTAACATTTTTTTTATCCTTCATATTGTCAAAGCTTTAACTCTTTTTGTCTGATTTGAATAAGAAGAAACAAAAGTTACCTCGACATTCTTCAAAGTGTAAACCAGAGTGTGGATTGACTTCTGAATTAGCTCTGTATTCTCAGGTGTCATAATCGATGAATGAACCTTCCTACAATATTAGCAAAAATGAAAAGAACATATCAGAATCTCATATTTTTGTAACACCTTTCTAATCCCCAGAGCTTATCTCTAAGGCTTGAAATATGTAAACAAGCTTTTAACATAGATGTGGTTCCAGAAACAAGAACCATACATTAAGTAATAGAAACAGCAGACTCGGTCTCAGAAGATATATTTAAAGAGATCAACTATTCCGATTCTAAAATAATAGAGGAAAGACTGAAAAGCAGCGATGAGCAAAGCTATGTATGGTTTCACATTCATCCCTTGTTCTGAAATTAGTCGGCAAATAGAGTGTTGAAGTCATGGATGATATTCGAAACGGAGATGCAATTTAAATTTCCTCGTATGGTTAAGACCTCAAAATTAGAAATCATTTCTTTACCTCTACAAGACTAATTGTCAGTTTCCTTAATGAGGTTGGAAATAGTTTGACACTTGCACTGTGAACTTCCTTACAAGACTATCTAGAGTGGTTCTAAAGATGTTATATCAATCGATAATGCTAAGGTTATCAACCAAAACCAAACTTTGGTGACTAACTATGAACCATTACCTCATGTCGTTTGAAGCTTGGGTCAGGCTTCGAGTAAGGCACTCAACTTCCTTGAGCAAGCCGCTATCACGAAACTCAGAGAGCAAAGGTTGAGCATCTTCAGCCATGGCTTGAATCTGTGACATCACTACATCAAAAACCCAACGCTTACGCATGAGAATATATTTTGCATGTTCCTTTCCCAAACCAATCTTGAAATGACTTCATATCACCTTTTTGAGCAATGGTTTTGCTTCTTCTATAACCGCAGCCGCTCTCTCAGCAAGCGAATACGTATTGGCGACACCAATCGCCTCTACTTCACGTCCAATACGAGTGAATATACCAACTAGTGCATCTAAACTCACTCCTTGCTCTCCCTTAATCTTCTGCCTATCACAAACAATCAAACCTTCTTTACCACATTCCGGATGCAGAGGTCCAACCGATGGTTCCGGTATCGGATCCCTCGGGGTAATATCAATCAAAGTCTCCATCAGAAGACCGGACTGATTCACCTCAACCAGTGAATTCTTTGGGATAATAATCTTATCATCTTCAATCTGCAAAAAGATGACCAAAGCCTAACATTCAGAAAACCAACGCACAGTCCAAAACCAGATCAAACCACACCAAATCAGCATTACCTCAGCAACAGCTTCAATGTTCTTCAAAGAAGGATTCACACGGATAACCGAACCAACGGTAACCCCACGGATCCTAACCGGTGTCCCCGTGCAAATCCCTGAGGCTTGAGCAAGCTCAAACACAGTCTGATACTTCCTGAATTTCGACCTCATTTGAAACCCTCGCAACCAAGCCCAGGTAAGAGCAGCAAGTGTAGCTCCAGAGACGATGAACAAACCAACCCCACCTTCCCAAACACTTCTCTTACCAAACCCGAAATCACTCAAGGGTTTTAAAGTCTGTCTCCATATATTCCTCGGCACATCCAAAGCAACCGTGAGCGGGCTCTTCCCTTCATCAGACGATGGTTGCGAATTGGATGCGGCTCTGACCACTAAATGCCTAGTTCTAGGTTTCGGTGGGAGATAAGGAAGCCCATTGAGAGAAGCTCGAGGGCAAACAATCATGGAAGATGATGGCATTAGTGATGGTGGAACTTGAATTACCGGATTCCCAATCATCTTCTTCCGAGCTGCAGGAGAAGGGGAATTCCAATCAATGACGGGAAAAAGAAAAAGGATGTGAATTGCGTGAAACTTGTACTATACCAATCGAATTATAAGCCGAAATTAGGGTTCTGGGGAAAGAGAGATACCTGCGCTCGAAGTTTATTTACGAACTCTGTTGTCGTACGAATCTGAGAATAGCGTCAAAGGCTTGCCGCTGGGATTTAGACGGAAAATCCCATGTGTTTTATTATCACTAACTAATCACCTAATTCCAAAATGTAAAGGGAGTGCAAATTTCAGTCTCAAGCCAATTAGGAAGACACAGGGGCATTTTCGTAATAATCAGAAGAGTGGACGTTCTCTCTACTCCGTATGCTATCTGCGTCTGCGTCTGCGTCTGCGTTTGCGTTTGCGTTTGCCAGCAAATGGAGCTCAAATCAATTTTATTCATAAAGATCAACAACTCTTCCTCAAATCAGTTTGTTAAATCATGTAATATCAAAACCAACAAACCAACAGCTTTCACCATTAATAAAGAGTTCATCTTTTTGAGTAAGATCAAGATCACAGCTTGGACAAATCCCTCAATCCGGGTTTTATTATTGCGAGTTCTTGGGACTGATGAAACACGTCTCCTCTTGTCACAAGCTTAGTTTATTGCAGGATGAAACTTGACCATCCATATCTACCAACCAACAAGAAGTAGCTTAAGAAGAGCCATTCTAATGAACAAACCGTTCTTTGCTTGTCTGAAGTATGCAGCTCTTGGATCAGCATCAACATCCGGAGTAATCTACACACAAAGAATCATAGAGAATGAGGACTCTGTCTAGGTTCATAGCAGCAAAAAATAGGAGAGAAAGATGTGTTTTTCTTTTTACTCACTTCATCCAATCTCGGTAAAGGATGCATGATCACAGCATTTTTCTGCATCACTCCTAAGAGCTCCTTGTCTACGATATACTTCCCACGAGCTGCTTCGTAAAGGTCAAGCCTTTCTCCAAACCTCTCTCGCTGGATTCGGGTTTGATAAACTACGTCACACTTGGATGCTACTTCCATCAAATCTGTACTTTCTTCCCATTTGACCCCATTTGATGTCAAGTACTCTTTTATATCATCCTACCATCGAAAAAAGTAGAAGACCTTAAAGATGATAAGCAACAAACCAAACGATGTTTACGAGTAAATTAAGCCAACCTTCTTCAAGCCCTCTCAAGGAGAGTGAGAAGTATAGTAATACTAACCTTCATTTTAACAATTTCAGGGGAAACAAAGTATATCTTGACATCTTTAAATTTAGCAAGCAAGTATGCAAGCGACCGGACTGTCCTTCCATTGGCAAGATCGCCAACTAAAGCAACACTGATACCATCTAGCTTCCCAATTTCACTTTGGATGGTATAGACGTCCAAGAGAGCCTTCACCACAGCAACAGTAACAGGCATAAGAAAAAAAGATGTAAAGCGAGAAAAGTAAAGAAAGCTAAAACAGTAAAGGTTATGAACTAAAACACACCTGAGTGGGATGCTCTCCAGGACCATCACCAGCATTAATGACAGGTATATTGGCAGTACCTGCAGCTTTTCTAGCAGCACCGCTTTCAAAATGTCGCATCACGATTATATCTGAATAACCCTCCACCGTTCTTATAGTGTCTGAAAAATGATCCACAAATTTTTGCGTTACTTATCTAAAGCACAATCAAAGTACTAATTAGATACCAAGCTGACAAAACGGATACCTTCAAGTGTTTCCCCTTTCGCCGCAGACGAAAACTCTCTAGCGTTCTCAGTAGTCAAAACTTCACCTCCAAGTCGTTTCATGGCAGATTCGAACGAGAGCCTGGTACGAGTAGATGGCTCGTAAAAGAGGGTAGCCATTAAATAACCCTTGAGTATTTCACTCTGTGAAGAGCTCTTCTCTATCTTTTCCATTTCGCGTGCAACGTCAAATATAGCGCTAAGCATCTCCCTATCAAATTGCTGCCCTTCAATCACATCACTAAGCTGAAATTTCTTCCCAGCCATAAAGGCTTCCCTAGTCTCTACTTGCATAGCATTGCACCTGATTCCTTGCACTGGAGCAACACTGCAGGTAAGCTTCCAACTAGCATTCTTCTTGGGATTCTTAGAAGCAGGAAACGAAGTAAAACAAATCTTTGAACTTTCAGAAGGACGTGAAAAATTGCTAGAGAGCTCTGGAAAAACTGAGGGCCTGGAAAGTGCGGCTGAAGTAAATGACGATGAGACAGACATTCTGGCTGGGATCTAAGTCGTTTAAGGGTGATACTGCTGAGATATAACTTCCGGTATCTTCTAAGGTTACCTACAAAGGTGTATAGACAAAGACGCAGTAAGTTTAGGAATAATGAAAAAACCAAAGGAAAAAAAACCTGCAAATGTTCATACATCTTTAAACACGAATCTGCTCACAACCAAGTAGGTACAACAAAGGCTACGGATTATATTAGTAACATATCACTTTACAAGGACCCCAAAACATCACTCTACAAGGAACTAGTACTGTCAAATGTAGCACTGAAATGAAACATACTGATATTTTCGTATATTCTCACTTCCTTCTGCATATTAAGGACCTATCAAACCTAATCTAACCATGCTTTCATTGTTTCCACTAGAGTTTTCTAATTGAAGAAACAAAACTAGAAACTGGTTATCAAAACTTTGGTTACTCTACCGAAATTATCCTTAATCTCAATTAATAAAAGGATATTAAGAAAGACTGCGATGTCTCATAGTATCTTACAACAACTTATCATAAACCGAAACTATAAGGAAACTCATTGGGAGAAGCTCGATCGAGAAACAATCATTGAAGATGATGGCATTAGTGATGATGGAACTTGAATTACCGGATTCCCAATCATCTTCCAAAAAAACCCGAAAATAATAAAATAAAGTTACAAATTTTTCCGATATACAGGTGAAGAGGATTTCCAATCAACGAGAAGGGAAAAGCATGTGAATTGCGTGAAATTTGAGTCGAAATTAGGGTTTTTGAGAGATACCTGGGCTCGAAGTTTATGATCACGAACTGCTGTCGTATGAGTGTGAATTGGGTCGAAGGCTTGCTGCTCGGATTTAGACGAGTGCGGCGGCGGCCGGAGGAACGTAGGGTTTTAGAGAGAAACTCAGAAATGATGAATTCAAGAAGTTTTGGAATTTGGATTCATAGGGGAGGGAAAAACGAAACGGATCAGGAACTAAAATGTCTCTGTTATATTTTTTTTGTGTAAAATTAATTAATAGCTTGCGTATTGGTGGGCTTATAAGGCCCACAACGTTCCTTATTCTTCACCGGTAAAGCCCAACGAGAAGAAGAAAGCTCCTGCGAACTTTCAGAGAGTGGATAGATTCAAAGACTTAGACTTTATGCTTATCCGCGCGAAGGAATGGAAATTGTTGTGTTGATTTTATTATTTTTCACAAATTTAATTTAATTATATGATTTATTATTATTTTAAAAATGTCATACACATATTAATCAAATATAATTAGGGTTACTAAAAAATTTCCGAAAATTAAATATAATTAAGTTTACGCAAAAATTTTGAACCATCATTTTTCATTCCTCCCATTTTGTTCTTTTTATCATATCCGTTTTTTCCCGTCCCATTCGCCATGTCCGTATCGTCACGTGCAATCCCATCATGTCTGAGACTGTTCCATCCCGTTTTGTCCAGTCTCATCCCGTTCTTTCCGTTTCTTTCCGTCATGTCCTAAAATATAATTAGGGATATGCTAAATTCACGTTTTTTCCGTTCCATTATGTTTCTTTTCATCCCGTCATTTCCGTCATATCCATCCCGTCTAGTCCCATCCTGTCTCATTATGTTTCTTCCTGTCTTGTCTTGTCCCATCTTGGTCTTTTTGTTTCTTCTTGTCCCGTCTCTAAATATAATAAGAGGTAGGCAAAATTTACCTCTTATCCCGTTCTATTTCTCGTCTCGTTCCTCCCCGTCCTATTCATTCACATACCGTTTTGTCTCGTCCCGTTCAGCCTCGTTCTGCTATTCATTCACATACCGTTTTGTCTCGTCCCGTTCAGCTCGTTCTGTTTTTTTCCCCGTCTCGTATTGCCCCATCCCATCTTTCTCGTATTAAACTATTAAAATCTATTTGATAAAACTAAAATTATTAAATTAGAATTTATTTAGATCAATATATAAACTATTTTCTTATACAAAATGACTTTTCAAATTCTATTATGATTAAGTGATAGATGTAATAAATTATTAGTCAGAGAATTGTATTGTTTAAAAGAGAGTTTGCTGACGTGGCGCTTCCAGAAGAGACCCAACTGTGTTTTATATATATAGATTTGTATCAATCAAGATGTCCTGATTTTACGATTTTCTCAATCGAGTTTTGTATTACTGTTCATATTCATGTTTAAAATCTGAAAGAAAGAAAAAAGACAGGTGTTATGTGTACCCAAAGAAAGAAACTTTACATCAAAATCCTACCTTTATACATCAAGAAAGTGAAGAAACCCCTAAGAATATACAACGTGATCGTCTCTTTAAATAACTTCTGGTATGCTCTTCAGAACCGGTGGCCATAACCGGCCCTTATGATTGGCTTCTTCGTAGCCGTCAGTTTTACGATTCACCGAACTCGGACACGAGAGAGCCTGTTGACGAAAGGTAAGGCCATGGGCGTTGACTTTACTCAGTAAATCTTGGAGCTGCTTCTTCGTGAGCCTGATCTTGATCTCATGAGTTGGATCAGAGGATTTACAGTTTCCTGTGACAACTACTTTTTTGGCCTCTATTGATGTTTTGGAGCTGTGATGATGATCATCACCTCTGATGAAATCATCCCAATCTTCACCAGCCCAGTGCATTTCTGATTCATGCCTTAGACAATTCCCCATTCTTTCTTTCTTTTTTTCTCTTTGGATGTAACCGGTAGTAAAGAGCTTATATGTTTATATAAACGTAGGTAGAAGCTGGTGGGATATTAAAATCATAAAATAAAAAAGAAGATAAAGATCAGATCAATGGAAGAACAAGAACATATACAATTATTTGCCACGTCAGATTGTAGAGTACTTTTATCCTACGTGGAGATGTGTTTGTTGAACGCACCGTCACCAGCTTTGTCCATCGTTCCACATGTCGTCCTCGGCTCGTGAGCTCGGCTTTGATTTTTTTTTTTTTTTTTTTTGTGCAACTTGAGGTCGGCTTTGATATTTTTACTTATAAAAATTTTAAGAAATACATTTAAGGTGCAAATTTTCAAAACTACACATATAGTATATAGTATGAAAATTTTCAAAAATACATTTTTTTCTAATTTTAATATATATGTTTGGGTTCACTAATCCTATGTTAAGATTTAAATTTGGGGTTTAGAGTTTAGATTTAAGAGTTTAATGTTAGACTCTAATTGGTGACACAAAGGAACAAAAGGAATAAGAAGGAATGTAATGAGGAGAAATAAAATATATGGAACTCATTCCTCCTCATATTTTATAAGTAATTTAACACTAAAATTACCTAATTAATATGGAATGATCTTATATATAATGAGAGGATATCACTCTCCAGTTGAGTGACACCTCATCATTTTTTTTGTTTCTCAAATTGCCATGTGGCATCCCATTTATTAAATAAAAAAATATTAACAAATACATTGAATTTAAAATAAATTTCTCATTCCTTTTGTGTCCTTTTGGCTGGCCTTACACTGAGAAACCGTAGAGTCTCGATCCACATAGTCACTTATTCCTGGGTTCCAATCTTGAAAAAAGAAGAACAAAAAATCTAAATGTGAGAAATCTGAAGCAACTTAGAGATGTAAGCAAATATAAATGAGGACTTGAAGAAAATGATCTGTAACACCAGCCTCTTTCTTACCAAAGAAAACATGTTATTAAAATAACTTATAACACAAGTAACCCACAGCTTCTCTTTGAAAGAACAAAAAGTATGTGCAGTTACCTCATACACTGTTAAGAATTATCAGCTCCAACTTTAATCACATGAAGAAGCTAATATGACAAGGGATCAATGAAAGAACATCCATCACCTGCTCAACTTTCCCTCCCACAAAACGGGAAGAAATTGAGCTTATAATATAATGGTAAGAGCATGCATCCTCTTCCTAAATTCTCAGTCATATTTCTCAATATCTTATCTTACTTATAATTTTCTTGGTATTTTTGTCTCTTTATGTTAACACAAGCACACTAAGACAAGCTTCAACAGGAATAAGAAATGATATAAACATGTAATCACGCCATATGTCAAGTAATTCTGCCTTTACTGAATATGCAGGGTGCATTTCCCTAGACGAAAAAAGCTAAAGTCATAAGATATTCACATTCCTGCCAAAACTTTACACAGCGCTTCCAACAACCTAATAAACTAAGATATGTGTCCAACAAGACCATCACTCAACAAAAAGTATAACGATAGAGCCTGTATCATCTAATCGAGACAAGTAAGTAGGAGCAGTTGAAGAAGGTGGATGCGTAGGGCTCAACTCTGTACAATTCACGTTTTTAGCCAGCAAGATACATAAACGTGTTCCACCAATCTGTCTTGTTAACCAATTAGCTAAGGTAGCTAAGGTAAACGAATAGCATAGCGCAGAAATATCACGGGTATCACCTGCTATATGATTTAGATAAGTATGGAGAACGGCTTCTGTCTCTTCTGCTCCTCCTGCTGTGCCTATGCTTTACAGGAGACCTCGAGTGCCTTTTTCTGCGACGTGAAGGTGATGGGGAAGGTGACCTCGATCTCGATAAGTCCCGAGGCATCTCTAAATGCCGCTAACAGTATCTTGCTCACTGAAATCTCTCAACTTTCAGGGGAGAGTAACAGATTTTTCTGCAAAATCCAGATTTAACAGCTCATGTTAATAATTGAAAGAACAACCTTTCAGTGAGATTGATTATCTAGCAGCGAATTTCAGATTGAGGACACAATCTCTCCAATATTTCGAGGAACTCATCACTGAGCAGGTAAAAATAGTAATCTAGTTTGTTCAATTCTCTATTCTCTGCATAATTCGTCCCGTTTCCCGATGTAGGCTGCAGAACAAAACCCTCATAGGAAGAAATCTAGCAGAAAAATCTACATCGAAACGACACAAAAAAAATCCTGAGAAAATAAGCTGAAATCGTCTGACTTACCCGAGAATCGCGTTGTCGTTGATGATTGTTGGATCGCCTCAAGAGTCAACACGGAGAGAGAGGAAAATTGAGGAGGAGCAGAATTCGCCGGATTCGGATATTAGAAGACGAAGCGAAGCGAGAGCTTTTTGTAATTGCTTGATAACTCTTATTCGTCGTGGACAAACATACTAAAGCCTTTTGGACTTTTAAATACGACAAGTGTTTTTAAAGCCTTCAGTGACGACTGTTCTGCGCCAAATTTTAAGATTTGGGCAAAATATACGCAATATCCAATTTTGATGATTTTTTTTTTTTTTTTTTTGGTTATTAAACTCACTAGGACTAAGCCCGCGCGATGCGCGGGTTATGACTATTACAAAATTTTGTTACTTGTATCTTAATTCTCACATTAATTTTGCAAACATTTTGTCCCTAATAGTTGTTCCAAATCACTGTGAATAGAAGCTGTTTTGCAGATAATCTAAGGCAAAGATTTACCCGATTTTCATACATGGATTGCATTCTATAAGCTGTTAATTCTATAGGCTGGTATAATCCTTGAGAATGTGTTTGGTGATGCACGTAGGAAACATTCTCTTCACCGCCTTCCCATCCCCCTCCTCCCATATGGTTACTTCTCACACTAATTATATTACCAACCTAAGCATATATATTTTTCAGCAGGAGAATATATATTGAGCAGCTAGATTAATGACATGATTCATCAAATTAATTATTTATTGATCGCAGTGGAACTTATTTTTATAGTCTTTTTAAAGTATACATATCTACTACTTGTACTTGTAAGACTATTTTTCATAAGTTTAACCTCAAACCCATAACAGTTTTGCACGAGTAGTGAGTAAAAAGCCAAAACAATGAGTATGTAAAGCAACCAAATTGGACATAAGAGACACACATCTTATTACACAACCTTTTAAAAGTAGCTCATGAGAAGAGCTATGAGGCATTGTCAATGAAGATGCCTCTCCATTTAATGTATCTATCTAATGTTAGTATTTACATAAGACACTGAAGAAGAACCACTGTGGACAAATTCGTCAGGTCTGTAGAACCAAATCAAAAACAATTACAAAGAACATAAATTGTAGAAGAAAATGATTTAGAGCTACCAGGTTCATTGTATAAAGAAAATAATACAATCATTATAACTTTAACTTGCTCAGATTGCAGAAGGACTCAGGGTTTTCCTCTCGCCTATTGGCAGATGTAAAGCTTGTGCTTGTTCAAGTAGTGGGTTTTGCATTATCATTTTTGAAATATCTGCGAAAACCCAACAAATAAATCTCAAGGCATTTCCCTCATTCAATGGGAAAAAAAAATCAATTTTCTAAAGAGCTCTATAACAAATGCTTACCAAAACGCAAACAAGTTGAAAGAACCAAATTGACAATTTCTGCACTTTCAGTCTTCCTTCGCATAATCAAGTATTCTTGATGCTGCTTTCTAATGAGAACTGGTACTTTCTAATTTTCTGGGTGAGTTTTGTTCCTTTGAATAATTCTCACCTGAAAACCTGCAGTATAAACTTAATTGGAGAGTAAAAACATAAAGTTTACGTGATTCCTTTCACTTTTCCTAAAGAGTTGAACTTAAACATATAAGAAAAAACAAACGTGTGTAGGTTAGCAACGAAGACAGATAGAGTTATAATGCTAGTAATCACCACCTGTAAAACATCAAAATTATAAAAATGTAGCTAATCTTTGCATAGCTAAAAGCTTTAAAGTTGGATATACTACTTAAGTTTATGGGAACTCGTTTATGAAGTTTTCTAATGCATACAATCAATATCAGTAGAGAAAAAAACTTTGCAAGCTTATTGAAACAAACCTTTGAAGGACCAGCTGCATAAACATCAGCACAAGTTTTTCTGCCATCTTCCTCTGAATGTATCCTGTAATATTTTACAACTGTGATATTGGTACCATGATCCATAAAAAGAAAAAAAGTATACAGTACGGAATCTCACTATCTTGTATTCATATATTACTTTTTCACTCACTAATAATATAATGATCATCTAACACAAGTAAAGAGCTAAGCTTCAAATTGTACACAAATTATGCTAGTGGACAGAAGTCATTACCCACGAGAAAAGTTAATATACTGATGATTGAGTATATTGTATCCTTTCACAAATAAATCACACCAACCGTGTGATTACAAACGAAGCAACTTTACAAAGCTACCATTTTACTAAAGAATTCCTTTCTTTCCGTAGTGTGCACATAGTATCTCCATTTTACTAAGCTACCCGCAGATTAAAGATATGAAGATGGATTGATAAAGAGAAGGATGAAGACGTTCACGTAAGAGAAAGAGCTAGCACTAAACATCACTATCAAGTTAACAGTTTAAGTACCTTCGTTGTTGGTCCATGCATATAGGTCAGACTGCTTCCTATTTCTCCCGTTACTTCTTCCTATTAACTACATGTAACTACCGTTATGGAATTCGGAACCTGAATACATGTCAACTATATGCATGTATAACGCTGCAGTGCCTAGAAGTCCATGACTCATGATTCATGAGAACATAAAATAATTAGATATTCATGAGAATCTGCTTTTGGGTACCAATACTCTGGCTTGCTATCGATGTAACTGCGGTTTTAAACAAAAATAAGAAGATCATCATGCTGTCCTAATCTATAAAACTTTAGAAACAATGATCATTTCTTTTTTACCTTGAGATTCTCTGTTTCATTGCAGCAATCTTTTCAGGAGGTGTAGTAATGTGGACACAACACTGGATTTCATCTCCCATGTCTGGACTACGCTTGTAATTGTGGATTGCTTTCTGCCACAGAAGAATGTTTGGATACACAATCTTGAGATTGTCAGCCTTCAAGAACACTGTTGTGAGAATGTTCATTTCCTCCACTACCATCTACAGTTTGATCTTTGTTCATTAGCCTGCAACATTCAGTAAATAGACACAAACACACACACGTTTTAGTTTTTTAAACTCTATTTTGTCTATCATTAACCGATCACCAACATCAAAAGGGTGAATGATGAAGAGGAAGATGATTGACTCGAAGACGATCTTAGTGAGTTTCCAAACATGAAGGCTAAGAGAACAACTTGTGAAGTTAAGAAGAGAAGATACTTGGACGTGATGATCTCAAGAAGGATTAGCCATATGATGACAATGACAATAGCAGTGAGAAAACTAATCATGTGATGGAGTTTGTTCACTGCTGTTTTCGTGTCGCTGAGTGTTAGCGCAAGAGCTCTTCTCTCTCTGAAAGTATTCACCTAATAAAGCAGAGTCAAGAACAGAGTTACACACACACATGCATAATCTTAAGAAGAACAAAAACTTCTTTTTTATATGTACCAGCCAGAGAAATTCATGGATGCGTGGCAGCTAGACTTGAAATTCCCGGGTACCCGACTCATGCCCAGCCCTAAAGATGAAGAATTAAACACATTTATGATTTTTTTTTTAAATGAAAAGATGCCACGTGTCACTCTCCTGGAGAGTGATATACTCTCATTATATATAAGATTAGTTTATGATATATTATGTGAGAAATGAAAAAAAATTCCCAAATCAGATCAATTGACTATGATAGCAATATTAGTTTATATCAGTTTGGAATTTCCTCTAACAAAAAAAAGTTATCATTTACCATATTTACTATAATTTTTCTAAAAGACCTGATAAATCGAAATCCGGATTATATACCATTTAACAATATAAATCTAGATAAATCCGTATATTTTTTTCCTAATCAAATTATGTATATATCCATTTAGAGGAGGACGGAGGACATATCACACATGTCTTAAATTAGCTTTTTACTTTAAAATATTAAATCAACTTTTTACTTTGTTAGGAAAACAGACATTTTTTCAATAATTGGATTATTAGTGTATACTCAAAACAGAACTCGGTATATATCTACCAAAAATAATCTTATTAGAAAACAAAAATCATCCAAAATAAAGGAATTCCTGGTTTTATATAATATTAGGTTATGAACATAAATCAAGCTTAAAAATCATCATTCACAATTAACAAGATTCAAACGATAATGAAACTATAAATAAGAAAACTGTGTAATAGTCATAACCCGCGCATTGCGCGAGCTGAACCCTAGTAAGGAATAATATGGAATACACATTCCTTGTGAATAGTGTAATTTTTAGGGAAGGAGGGGGAATAAAACAATTCCCCTTCATTCCTTGGTCACCAGTTACAACCTTAGAGTTTGTGTAGTTTTGAAAATTCCCCTATTACTAGGGCTTTCCCCTGCGCTATGCGCATGTCTCTATTTTAAACCGGTTTAATATATATTCTTAATGAATAATTATAAAAAACTGCAAAAATCAACAACTAAAATTTACGAATCTTCCAATATCAAAATTCTCTGGAAAACAATTTTTTTTAGATATACCAATATGTTGTTAGATTAAATCTTGCCATACAAAAATATTTTTTAGATCAAGTCCTGAAAATGTTTTTGTTTGTCTAATAACTAAAAGTTATTTGATGTTATTCAAAGGGCAATCCTCATTTTTTGTCTTTATAAATCTGTTTTCAAATAAAATTTTACACTAGCCACTATCTTTTCAACTTTTTTTGTGTTTATATCAAAACTTAACACATATATTTGCAGTTCCAATACTCATAGTTTCAGTATACATTTGTGTTTTGTGCGAATAGTTATTTTTTTTTATCCCACTTTTGTAAGTTAGCATGCCTAATAAATTCAACTAAAAACATAAATCAGGCAAAAATAATTGATGTGGAATGATTTACGCAAATTATCTTATAGTTAATTAATATAAAATTATAGATTAAGACTTATAGTTAAGCCACATAAGATCGAACAAATAATTATTAATTTTTATAAATATCTTTAAAATTATATTTCTATTTCTATAGAGAATAGTTTATTGTTAACTAGTTTTCAAATTTTTATTTCCACATACTATTTGAACTAGGTGGTTTGCCAGCAACCAGCGCGGGCTTGAGTATCTTTAAAATGGCAGTTGTTTGTAATCTACATAACTAATAAGGCTTGGACACTTTCCAGCCTTCGACACGTGGCACCTTCTTTTTTTTTTTTCCTCCCAACGCCAAAACGACGTCGTTTGGCGTTCTCAACTTTTTTTTTTCCGTGCAACACAAAACGACGTCGTTTAGCATTTTCCCTTTTTTCCCAAAATTTTACGCCTAACACCGAAACGACGTCGTTTTGCATTTTTTTTTTTTTTTTTTTTTTTTCTGGAAACCAGAAACTTTTTTCTGCTGTTTTCATCCTTTCGTCACGTTTCGCCTCCCTTTCCTAATCGAATCGGTACCCAAAACAAAGACTGTGACATTGCTGCGATAAATTGTGCAAACACCACCTCGAGAACATGTAATTTCTCTCTACCGGAGAATCTAACACCGTCGCTTGATCGGTCGTTGCTCAAAGATCTAACCGGACTCGATGAGAAGATGATCGAGATTGTGAGATCTCTGAAACAGGATAAAACCAACAAGAGAAGCCTGAGTCCGCTCCCCGCCAGAGAACTCAGAGACGACGTCGTTCTCGCCACGCTCGTTCTCTCCCGCGATGACGTGGACAGACTCCGGGAGAGAGTTAAATCACAAAGTCCAGATCCGCCGCTTCACTTGTCGGCTTTCGTCATCGCCTACGCATACGCGTGGACGTGCTTCGTGAAGGCGCGTGGAGGAGACGGAGAGCGATCCGTGGGTTTCCTTCTCGTCGGAGATTTCAGAGAGCGGTTGGATCCGCCGCTTCCGTCGACATACTTCGGAAACTGCGTGTTTCCGGAGGGAAGCTACAATCAGAAGGCGGCGGATTTCGCGGAGGAGAAAGGATTCGTGAATGCGGTTGAGATCTTAAGCGATTTGGTGAAAGGTTTGAGTTCGCGAAGGATAGAGACGATCGCGAAAGCATTCAGGGATGGATTCGATTCCCAGGGAGAGAGCTCACAATTCGGGACGATAGCCGGGTCGAACCGGTTGGGAGTGTATGAGTCGGATTTCGGTTGGGGAAGACCGGTTAAGGTTGATGTTGTATCGATTGACCAAGGACAGGCAATGTCAATGGCGGAGAGACGTGACGAATCAGGTGGCGTTGAGATCGGAATGGGCCTGAAGAAGGCAGAAATGGATTTGGTCGTTTCAATACTGTATCATAGAATGTTAATTCGTAAGCTTTTAAAATTTGGAAAATTGGTAAGTCGTCCATAAAGAAGAACACTTTTGGTGGTGATTTTGTATTCAGAACTGTTTCTTGATTATGACTCTTCTTATCTTGATAGTTGTCGGAGAAGTTGTCGGCCAAAGCACCCGATGGTCCAACAAAAGTCAAGATTTTGATGGAAATTGCTACGGAGCATAATGTTGTATAGGAGGCAAAATCTTTTATGCAACTAGATTATAAAGGCACTGAGTTGTTAATAACGTTTTTCTTTAGTGTAATGGCATCGGTTGTTTCATCTATTTGCTAAACGTTAACCGTAACTTTTACTCTACTTGTGTTTTACAGAGGAGCAAGCACGTTTCAGTCAACAAGTAGTATAAACGTGGAACAACCTCGAAACACACAAGCACCAACTCCTGTAATATAAACAAATTCTATCGCTTTTGTATATGTTTAATTTTTTGTGTGTGTTTATACACTCTAATTTGTTTGTAAAATTTCATGAATAGGATTTGGTTAGATCCGATATAACCGTTAATGCTAATTGCAGTGAGCACCACCGAAATAGCCGGCTGCTCGTCTAGCCATTCTAAAATCTCCGTTGCTTCTTCTCCTTACAATCACCAACTTGATCCAATAACGGTCCCACTGGATAAGCAAGAGGCGTATCAGTTATCACATATGAATAAGAGTAAACATATGAATTGCGTCAAAGGTTTTGGAGTGTTGGAAACCAAATTCAACATACATATGTTGCAACTCAAATAGATCCAATTAAACATACAGATGTTATCATCATGTTTTGATTTGTTTTTTTTTTTTATGTTTCTGTTGTTTGTGTTTATATAAATTTAAAAACTTTGGAAAAAGGTAATTAATTTTTAAAGAACTCCACAATCACTTCTACAATATGGAGCTAAAATTTTAAAAATTCATTGAAAACTTTAAACTTAAACTATTAATATTTTTGTTATTAAAAATTACTAAAGAACTTCATTTGGAAAGAAACTTTAAATATTTTTGATATTTTTGCTGGTGGTCTAACTTATTAAGTTCATCATAATATTTAAAAAGAAACAAACTCTTATACTATTTCAAAAGAAACAAATTCTTATTTCAAAAATTAACTTTTCCTATTTATACAAAGTATATATAAACAAAACAAAATAATATCAAAAATAACAATATTTTTTTTTGAAATATAAATCCGCGCATTACGCGGGTACTCTCCTAGTAATAATAATATTATATCATTTTAAAATTATTATTTTCTTTGGAATATGTTTGTCATTTAATTTAATTTTCCTGTATTAAAATTATGTTTCATAAGTGGGTTTAGATATATCAAAATACTCATACTTTTTTAATATATCTAAACCCGAAAACCCGAAATAAGATTTTTAAGAGCTTGAAAACGGAAGTTTTCTAAACCATCGGTTTGTTTTAAGTTGTTATTCTTGTATCCAAACAATTTTTTCCATTTATTTTTCTATCCAAATTGTTTTTTCTCTTATTCTTGTATCCAAACATTATAATGTACTAAATTGACCCTAATTAAATGTGTTGCTAAACACTTTCTCTTCATAATTAGATTGGTTTTTTTGTCATAAATTTTTCATATACTTCTCAATTAATAATATAATAAAGATTAAATATGAGTAAAATGATAAATTTAGTTATTTTTAATATACGCAAAACAGTTTGAAAAAAAGAAAGGATGGAATATCAAACTTTTGAAAAGGCCAAAAGTTACTAAAATATAAATTCAAGAAGAAAAAATGGGTTTTGTGCAAAAAAATCTCAAGCTATATTATTTTTGCAAGAAAAACCCTCACCTCAAAAAAATGCAAGTCAAACCACTCACCTCTAAAGTCACCCGCAATATAGCCCATGCCTATATTGATGACGTGGCATTCTTAGAAAAAAAAGATTTTGTGCAAAAAAAAACCCAGACTAAATTATTTTGCAAGAAACCTTCTCATCAATCAAGTATATAGGGTTATTGGCATATAGATTTATAAGAATTATTAAAAAAATTCAGAAATCTTTGTTATTGGTTTATGAATTCTAACAATTTTACTAAAATATGTTGTTATTGGTTTAGTGATTTTTAAAATTCATACAATCAGTTGTTATTTAAAAAGTTTGTGTTTTAATGATTTCATGAATCCAGTAAAATCTTTATTACCGAGATATGAATTTTAAACAATTTAACTCATAGAACAAGATTTTCCAAAGAACTATCTATAACCCTTATATTTTCAAATCCATTATAAATTGTTTTCTAAATAGACCAACTCTCTCCAAATCTAACATAATCTCTCTATAAATTTAACAAATCTCTTAACTTTTAAAATTTACCAACTCTACATAAATTCATCTCTCAATAATCCTCCTAAGTCAATTCACATACCTCAAAAGCCGCCAAAACAAGATTTCTTTGAACAAGTTTGTGTGAATTCAAATTGAATCGTTTTCTCCGAAACAAACGGTTTGAAAGGAATTGTACCAAAAACAACTAAGAATAAAAGTATTATATCTGAGTCGGGATCGAGCCTAAAATTTACTCCGAAACAGATCTACTCTGACGGGGTAAGAAAGCTATAAACAGATTTGAAAATGAATAAAGTTATTATATTCAAGATTTAAATGACGTTACTGATTTATTTTCAGAAAATAAATAGATTGAGATATAAAGAAAAATGAAGATGAGTTTTTTTTTTTCGTTTTTATATATATTTTACTAAAAAAAAATTAAAATCTTGAAAACAGTAGATAGTTATTTAACGGTCTTATGCAAATTGAAAACAACACAATTTTTTTTTATCAACCGAGGTCTTTTTTTGCACAAAAAATAGTTCAAGGTTTTTTTTGCACACAAAAATAAAGATTTCTGACATTGCCACGTCATCAATATAGGCAGGGGCTATATTGCAGGTGACTTTGGAGTTGAGTGGTTTGACTTGCATTTTTTTTAGTGAGAGTTTTTCTTGCAAAAATAATATAGTTTGGGGTTTTTTTTTCACAAAACCCAAGAAAAAACTATCCTCTACTTGAAGAATGGTGGGTTTTCCTGACCATAGCTTTGTTTAGTTTCTCGCATTTTTTTTTTAAATGGAATACTTATTAAATACCATATTTATTTATTCCTCAAAGGCTCAAAGCTAAAAGGGTTTCTAAATTAAAATAAAATATTGTACTCAATACATCTCTAATATATTATTTTAGACGTCAGTTTTAAGAGATACCCAAAAAAGCTTCTTATTACGGAAAATACCACTGAGAATACGAACAAAAAGTGTTTGGAAACAAAAATATCAGGGGCAATTCCGGGTGAAAAAAACCGAGTCGAGCGAGTTAACTCAATTCGACTGAAAAATACCCGACCCACCCGAAAAAAAAACACGCGGACCCTGAAAATACTTAAATTGAACCGGGCGAAATCTATGACCACTTAACCGGAATATATGTGATATTCAAAAAGAATAAATACTGACCAAATCTTTCGGAATATTTGATATCAACTAACCAGAAAACAAAATCACGGCTGATAAAACGGCAACTATTAATTACCCGTATATATTAAACAGCTATAAACAAGGTAAGTCGCTCAGCAATTTCACATTATGTATCCCATAAAATATGCTACTTTTGAATTTCGAAATCAATTGCTTTAAGATTCGGGACAGTTATTGATATAAAAAAAAATCGTGAAAAGATTTACAATCCGTAATCTAAGCCAACGAAAATATATTCGAAGATATACTTTTCAAAACCTAATGACCCATTCCTAAACAACACTATAAATACATGTAACAGTTGCACGATGAAAGAGTAGACATACCTCGATAGCCTTCAGCAAGGAAATCTTATATACAAAAATGCTAATGCTCTTCCCGTCCCTATTCCCGTCCATCTTCCATATACGTGAAGCCATTCAAATTCACTTGGAAAATTCATGTCAAAATCCTGCACACATTGAACCAATACACATTTTTGGGCATGGAGAAACACGTTCGATGATTCTATCATTCATCGAGGTAATTTGCTCTTTAAAATATCGTGCTTAGAATATACATTGGAAAATTTTTGTTACTGGTGGATAATTAACTTGAACCTAAATTTTAACCTGACGTGTAGGGAACATGTCCATCGGTATGAAAAACATTTTGTCAATGGAGAACGGAAGTTTGTACACAACTTCACAGTCAATACGCATTGATAAAAATCTGGGTAACAACCTAAAGAGTTAATTCTCTATGATTTAAAGGTTAGTTCTCTACGATTTTCATTATCCCCTACACAAAAAGAAACAATGGAGTTGAATCTAGATTTCTATTACTAAATACTAACATATATGTTTCTTCTCTTATATGTCTTATCTTTACTAATCACAGTTTGTTGATTACAGAGGAGATTGGGAATCACCCAATGCTTTTGATACTTCTGCTTTCATGATAATTGATATGATGTACTTTGTACGTTTCTGTTTTTCAATACAATTATTAAGAACTATATCAATTCTTATATTTCAGGTTTGCCTAATTTCAGATCATAGCTCTTCTAACATCAGCCTATGATGACTGTAACATTGAAAAAGATACTTCTCCTACATCGAACAATTCCCAATTTTTGGTGGAGTAACGAGGATGATCTCTGCTACAATTCGATTTTTCATGGCCTTTTACACATAACTTTTCTAATTATTGTTTGTTTATTTCACAACAGATTCGAGATCCAGGAGCAATACTGTGGTTAAATCACAGAGGAGCAAAAAATGTGCCTTCCTCAATCATTTTTAGGTACCATGATAAGTGCTTTGTTCTCATATATATCACAAATTTAGAATCATTAAATTTAAACGATTTTCATTATTTTTTTCCTACGTCCATGTACTAAAATAAAAAAGAGAGAGCAAGGATAGTCATGACTAACGCTCTTCCGTGATTATAGCCCCAGATAGAGTATCATATATGAATGGGATCATATATGAATGGGTTCTTCGAAGCACCACCACCACCAACTTGATTCCCTGCTTACAATAACAAAGTGGGGATGAAGAAAGCAAGACTTATACGGTTAGTCTCTTCACCATATCAATTTATTTCATTTTCATTAATTTAATCAATACGACATCTTATTTCATTGTCTCTTTGATGTGGTAGAGCTGGTCCACGTATTGGAACTTATTTTGCTGGCGAAATGAAC